TAGTACGTCCCAAAAGACTCGACCTATAACTACGGTCTGTGTACTCTTTCCAACGTTGTAGTGTTGTTGTGGTGTCGTTGTGGTGTTGGGAAGAGTTCATAGTTTTAGGGTTTTAGGTTTTAAACGTCATTGGTATTTTCGGTCTTTGTTAGAAGGAGAGATGTACAGTAGCGCCACTAACCTAGAGGGCGCCACGTGTCTGTTAAGTGGGTTATAAATAAAGCCGCCGGGAGCGAGCTGCTTCTTCGTCACCGGCTCTCGGACCCGGCGTGTCGTGTTCCACTACACACACCAGGCTCATTTTTCTTATTTTTCGCCTCATACTCCTTTGCGGTTTCAGCAGGCTTCAAGAATCTTTTGGAACGGAAACACTTTACGTCAACGAAGCCATTTGTTTCAAGCAGCCAATCAGGGAGTGCTGCTAGAAATCCGTCCCTCATATTAAAGGAGCTGTGCAACGATATTTAATTGGAATGTTTTTCTCTCTAAACGAGCTTACTGGCACACCTGGGACTCAAGGATACTCACACGCAACGCCATTGGCCAAGAAACTTCTTTGTTGCGGTGTAATTTCAGGGACAAAAGCGATCATTTTCAGTCAATCTCTCCTTTGCAAAATTTGATGACGTAACTCGGGGATCGCAGTACACCCAAGTGACGATATTTGAATGCCGTTCATAGATTGGACCCGAGCATTGCGTGGGCACTCGACTTGGGCTCGTGACAATTGCTAGCTCGAGAAGCATTCGGGTTGTGACCCGTGTCCAATCGCTGCAACCACGACAACAGCCGAGCCATAACAATGTGTGGAACTCAGCGCGTGTCCTGCGCTTTGCCAACCTCAGCGCGTGGCTACGATCAACACTGGCGGCATATAATCGGCTCCAGATCACGTGGCCGCTTGTTCTGGCTGCGAGTTGAGGGGGTGAACGCTGCTCGTTTTTCTTTAATTTTTTTCTGGGACTTCTATTGCGTTGGGTGAAAAACGAACGCGTGTTTCATAGGTCATTAACATTAGGGATCCGTTTTAAGCGATATTTGTGCACAGTACAAAAATTGTTGCATCGCTCCTTTAACGAGTAAGCCGCCCTTCTGCACAGTGCAGTTTTCCTGTTCCACATACAGTCCTAAAGCAGCATCCTCATTGATTCTACCATATTCTATCGCGGGTGAAGAAAGGTCTTTGGGTACACGATACTTGAAACATGCCTGGCAATGTAAGTTGTCGTTCGACACCCACTAATGTCGTCGTCCTTATAGAGCCTCATCATTTAATCATTACCTCGTCACCTCATATTGCTCTTCATCAAAAGTAAGTACAATAGGCTGCCGCCTTATTACGATCCAAGAACTGAAAAATTTAGTCGTTCAGTCTTTCAATATGTTTATCGTTTATACAATGTTATTACGTTACATTACCTCGAGACGATCGACGTCCATCGTCGATCTTCAAATACTTATACCTGTATATAAATTAGACGCACAAAGGGGTGGGGGGTGGGGGGGGGGGGGGGGGGGGATTGGTGGCCGAGTGCATGGTCTATACTCTGTTTCACCTTATGATGTACCGAAGTAAAAGGTACATGCGCGAGCTCCTTGCTCTAGGGCAAGGAGCTCGCGCTCTGTTGCACGGTTGCACATAAAACCCGCGTTTCTCCTCGCCGGCCGCTTCCTCCTCTCACTATGTGTAGCTGGTTAGAACTAAATAAGTTATAATAATAGTGTATTATTCATATTTAGTTTCAGTTTCAGTCAGGGGAAAGGAGATTTGAGGGAAGTAGAGCCAATAAATGAGCTGCGCTTAAAGTATCGGCACACTTAGAGTCACTAAATGAGCTGCGCTTAGAGTATCGGCACTCCGTTCCCCGGCATTGTTGTGGGTGCCGCCATTTTGGCTCGTATGCAGAGCAGACCCAACTGCCGATCGTCATGATTCAAAAGTGCGACTTCCTCAGATTTAGATTCGTTGTTAAGAAGGTCACGCAATATTGCTTTGCTCTGTTACGAACTGTTTAAACATTTGTGGAGGGCGGAAAGGCGTTTCCTGTGATTTCAGATAAAGCTTCAGATAACTGGCAACCATGATTTTAAGACACAATATGGCCAAGTGTCGTTACTCTGAAGCGTAGCTTATTTAGTGGCACTAGGCACACTCTTCCCCGATAGTGTTGTGAACGCCGCCATTATCGTGCTTGTGCAGAGCAGGCGCAACTGCCGATCGTTATGATTCAAAAGTGCGACATCTTCAGCATTAGATTCGGCGTAAGGAAGCTCATGTAATGTTGCTTTGCTTTGTCGCAAACTGTTTAAAGTGGAAGACGGAAAAGCGTTTCTTGTGATTTCAGATAAAGCTTCAAATAACTGGCAACCATGATTTTAAGCCACATTATGGCCAAGTGTCGCTGCTCTGAAGCGTAGCTTATTTAATGACACTATTCATGCTCTTGTTCACGAGGCCTGTAATACCTGGAGGGGCCATGACATAAGCCCCGTGGGTTCCACAAGCCACTACCTCTTGACACCTGCCTCTTCATTGTTCCCGCTTGTGCCAGTAAATTAGCTACGGTTCAGACTAACGACACTCGGCCATATTGTGGCTTAAAATCATGGCTGCCAGTTATCTGCAGCTTTATCTAAAATGACAGGAAACGCTTTTCCGTCCCCCACAAATGTTTAAACAACCCGCGACAGAGCATTGCAATATTGCATCAGCTTCCTTGCACCGCATCTAAAGCTGAGGAAGTCGTACTTTTGAATCAAGACGATCGGCAGTTGCGTTTACTCTGAACAAGACCCGAAATGGCGGCGACCGAAACAAGTTTGGGGAACAGAGTGCCGATACTTTAGAGCTCATCTAGTGACTCCAGGCATGAAGTGCACTCCGGTGTATTCTTTTCCTCTTCGTCTTTATTGTTTATTGATTTCAATCATATCGAATAATGAACACATTATATCACGCTACGCTTGTGTAATTATTTGTCTTAGATTTGTTAACCTGACCCAGCACTTAAACCATTCATTTATCGATAGTAAATCTTCCAATATATTTTTTTTAAATGTGAAGGTAAAAAGACACGGAGATTGATGATGATACAGACGCCAACGCCGCCCTCGGAAATTTTTTGAACATTAGAAATCAGCAGTTTGTCTGCCATCCGCCAGGTAGCGCAACAAAACACCCAAACAGTTTTTAATTGTTTTTAAAATTAGCTAAGCTCTACAACTATTAAAAACTCAAAGCAAGATAATTGTGAGAATCTAATACATCGCAATGTATATCTATTCCAAACAATAAATGTTATTAGGTGCCACTAAATCTGTTTGATGTCCAAAAAAGATATGCGTCAAAAACAGGCATGTTTGAAGGGCTCCTGGAGCGTTATGACTTTGAAAATGAAAAAAAGCCATCGTCCACCTCTTGGGAAACCATTGTAGCTCTAAATGTTATAAAAGACTTTATCATAGTTTAATTATTTCCTCAGCGGCATTTGAAGTACCGTGACTCGAAGCACAAAAAAGTCCTACGTTTGATATAAAATATCTAAACAAAAAAATTTTACACAACATTAAATTTTTTTTTGCATATTACCAATTGTAAGCACTACATCTGTAGCTAATTTCATTGTCCTAGCGCTTGTCAATAAAAACATATTGGTGCTGAAAAATGTCAATTTTAGGGCAGTATTTGGAGGGATGAAAAAAACAAAGTAGTGCAAATACCAAAAAAGTGTATCGTTACATTCTGCTCCGACATCATCTTAACAAAACTGATATATTGGAACCGTGTAATCTTTAGTGGATCATTCATAAAACATGAACTAGCGGAGCAAGTGAGGGTCTGCGCCATCGTATTCGCAACGCTACAAATGCGCATGAACAGTAAAAAACAACACACACATAATATCAAATGAAAGAAGATTGCATTGCCTTTCGAATGACATCAATCCCACAAAACAGTATTTAAAAGGAGATGAGTAATGACCTGCCAAAAAGTACCTAAACTGCCACATTCAGTGGGACCGTGGCCTTAAAGCTCGGGTCATATACCGCATGTAATACCTTAAACAGCGTTTTTTTTTTTCTTTTTTTTTCTTTTTTTAAAAAGCAGCAGCAAAAACAAGGTTCCTGTCATGTCTCGAATTAGCAGTGTCGCAAGAGTTTTAGGCCTGTAAAGGAACGGTTCAGTAACAGGATACCGATTACACCACTGCTACCTATTCTTCAACTTAAAACATTATTTACTCCTGGCCAACTTGCCTAATTACAAGGTGAGGAGCTGGTGTACCTAAGTAGTTGTCCCGCAAATTTCTACGAGATCTTTAATGCCCAATTTGGGTCTTGATTTTCTCCTCCGCTACAGATATCGTAGCGGAGGAGAAAAAAGTTCTACTGTAATTCCCTATTACTTTCCTCGCCAAATGTAGCGGTCAAACTAAATTAGTTGCGCCAGATAAAGTGATATCAAATTTACTGCCAAATTTAGAAGGGAAATCACATTGGTGTATGCGGCTTGTGGCGGGTTAAGTGATATAAATTTTCGACTAAATTTCGCGAAAACTGCACGGACGGACGTATGAAAGGGCAGAAGAATGAACAGACGGATGGGGACAAAGTTCTTATATTTTGGAGCGCGGTGGACCGTGGAGGTTTCGTTAAAAAGCAGTTCATTCTTCAAAGATTTGCTGAAGGCGTTACGGGGAAAGAAATTACCTCCCTATACGTGGTTTCAAACCGAAACTATGCGCGTAATAAACGCCCATGACGCCAATCTCTCTGCGCTGCGCTAACGTTTCACTACTGACGTCGCCTGAGGCGCGCACACGTGGGTTGTGGGTTGTGGAGCCGGCGCAGGGTGGAGAGACCGACGTCGCGGGCGCTCCTTGCTCGCTTAGTTTCGGTTTGTGCCACACCGACTTTCGAGGAGCATGGGACTTGAGGTGCGATTCTATTCCTCTTCGGTCTTAGACCGGTGTACTAAAATAGAGCATCACTGTTTGCAGTACGTTCAACGAGTACGTCCACTGCTACTACAAGCACATGCCCGAGCTGTGCGGCGAAGAAGGCCGCGACTTTTTCCGCACCTACACGGAGAAGATGTCGGGTCCGCTGATTCACGAGCACTGCGCCTCGTACACGTACGACTCGACCTGCCAACGGGGGTCGTCGAGAGCGCCTCCAGTGACGCTCTCGGACGGCACGGGAGCGGTCCTGGTGAACCTCCTCTGGACCGTGGCAGCGGTGGAACTGTCCCGGCGTCTGTGCGCCTGAGGCGACTCGAACGTGGCCTCTCAAGAGTTACCGCGAGGTTAATTTCTGGGCGGATCCGACCCAAAAACGGTTCATCGCTCGAGGACACTTTCTGGGACGGGAAACGATCTGCGGACTTCCCTAAGAATGGAAGAGTTTTGGTGTATTCGGGTGTGACTTACAGGAGTCGTGGAAAAGTTCAGTTTCTAATATGGTCTTCCCTAAAAGAGAGAAAAAAAATCGAAACCACGAATTCAGTTGTTCATATCAAAAGATACATTTCAGATCGTGAGATAGGCCAAATACACATAAAGGATGCCTTATCTTCCAATTGAACGACCCCCCAGCGCGTCCGCCATCTTGTCTTCCTTGTATCGGTATTCTCGTTCAAAAACGATGCTGACCTTGCCTTAGTCTCGGTCGACATCGCTTAGTGCGAAACGTTCGCTACCGATGTCACTGAAACTGACAGGCGGCGATTTGAACGAGCGCGAGCCGGCACGCCGTCCTTGCATTGAAACATGCCTTTCTAGCGCAAGCGGTCGTGCCGTGAAAGCGTCTTCCGTAGCAGCGATCAGGTTTCCGCCGCTCCGAAAGCTTAGGGCGAGAACGGCAGTCCTGTCTTCCGGATACCCAGCTTCCGGCACGGGCTCTTTGCCTTCCGTCGTGCTCTGGTTGTGCGTGCATGTTCTCGAGACGCAGAAGAGTCGTTGGCGCTATCGTCATTGACGGGACGAAAACGGCAGGAAGCTCCTCCAGTTGCCTTCCGCGCGAGCTTCTCACCTTTCTAACTCTTGGGTGTTTCGTGAAGCTCGCAGTGACGCAGAAGACAACGCGCGCTTTTTAGGGGCAGCGCATCGAGACCAGACGCCCTGCCGTTCTCATCTTGTCAGTTTTTATGCGGAGAGAAATTGAGGGAGAGGAGGACACGAGAGGGGGCGGGGACGCTGGAACACTGAGCTCTGGTTGGAATGATTTGAACTCACTGTTCGAACCTGTTCCCTCGAAACACTGCCGCTCGGCGTTCGAACGCGTTCGGAAAGTGAGTGGTAACAGAGGCAGCTAGCTTTGCGCCTACCTACTAATCATTCCAACCACACCGTGTTCCGACGTCCCGCCCCCTCTTGTGCCCTCCTTTCCCGCAAACGGCGCTGGAAGCGAAGACACCGAAGGAGCTCCATTTCGTCTTTTACACGTGACATACTTCCGGCCCGAACCCTCGCCAAAAACCATGATAGGGTGCTTTGCCCCATGCGTTTATAGACGCAGAATACTTGTTTTTCGGCCCCCTCGACTTTTCTTGCTTTGTGATCGACTGCGTCCGCCGGAGTAGTCTGTGACACACACGAGCATCGGCTGGTACTTAACTCTGAGACAAACCGGTCTTTGTTCAAAGTTGACGAGAGCCTGCCCTCGAGAAGTCGGCTCCTCGGTTGTCAAAATGTCCTCAGCAGATGGGGTCTGGGCATTTATATTCTCGAGCATTTTGCGTTCTCTCGTCGGTTGAGTAACTCGCCGTGCTTCTACGTATTACAAACACAAGCTAGGACATTATCGAAAAATTGATTACGTGGAAACGAATAGTGTAAAAGCATTATCATTCACTTCTTTTACCTGAAATAAAATTATGTTGTGTCAACCCGGCTTATAGGTCGAGCTATCAGTTCTAAGGTATATTAAGGTAGTATTCATATGGCGTGTCAGATCAAACGCAGCAAAAGTCATGGGTGGACATTGTGCGAGCGGAGCCGAGCGACGCTAGCCAACGTCAACCTCGTTTCTTACGTTGGCATTAAAGGCAGCAAACCTTAGAAATGCGCGTGAACGCCCGGCGACCTTCCGTTCGGCCAAAAATAACTCTTAATAAAAAGTGAATCAATGGCAACTTTCTAAGTAATATTACATGGTCTCCAAGAACACGGTTACGGATATAAAGGAGATTGCGTAGGTAAGCTGGCGAGCGGTCATGGTGAAAAACCCCGGAGACGAGGGGACACAAAAAATGACGACAACCACCGCACCGTCTCAAAAGACACCACCAGACGGTGTTGTGCTTCTAGACCATCTCGTGTCACCTCGCCTCCCAATTAGTTTTTTTTTTTTTTTTTTTTCAGTGCGATTTATGGTTATTACGTTTTTGAGAATGATTCCCATCATTTGATATTATTATGTGTTAAAAGCCTCTTTTTAATCGCTTGCATACACCGTTAGTTTATTGTGGGTTCAGCTTTTTGAGAGGCTGGTTTCTAAGCCGATTACGGCATTAAATGTCATAAAATGGGTTCACAAAAAACAAGCCGAATTTTTAAGGTTTCTGCTATGAATGCTCAAAGGCGTACCAATTTTTCTTGAATAAAAACTCGGAGATTTAAAAAAAAAAGTATTTGTTCAGTGCCGACAACAGTGTGCCCAACACGGTAGAACCGATACAACAAGCATATATAAGAGCTTGTTGTGTTATTCCCTGCTACTCAGTCATCAGATGAAACAATGAATCCCCTCTGGGCAAGTTATGTTGGCCCACCGATTGCGTTCGCATGATGAGTAAATTCACCCGCTCAAAAACAGACGTAGACTATATTGACGACATTTCATACTTTTGAGCTTCCACCGCGAGTAGGGTGCAAGGAATGGACAAGAATCAAAGGTTATCACTAAGATATCAGAAAAGAAAAAGAAGTTTCTTATATTATTCGTTGCATTTTGTTTTATTTGTCAGTGACATTTGCGACTCTTGTTGTGTTGTGTTCGGTCTTATATACGTTACTCGAAAAAAAAAAAAAAAGTCGATTACCCTATAATTACTCCAGCTTAAGATTATTTGATTCGATTACCCAATTAATGGCGAACATAATTAATTGGCATTCTCTTGAAGGAGTAAGAGAGTCTTTTATGAATATTTCAAATTTTTATGCCTGTTTTAAATATTTTTTGTGCTATACATTTCTGAATTAGAATCACTTAATTGTAAACTTTTTGTCTTCTTTATCGACCAATTTTGGAAAACCGTCCTTTTGCCCGAGACTTGGTTCTCGGATTCTTGAAAGTAGCCTTGGATACAAAGCTAGGGCGCCATTAAAAAGGGAGGGCAAAATAGTAACGATCATAAGCAATTTTTATGCATTAAAAAGTAATAAGATTACTATTGCGATTGCTTGATAATTAATGTATTCAAATGATTAAGAACACACTAAAAATATAAGTGATTATAAGTTATTAGACTATTAGTAATGTGTACCGTGCAAGTCTGGTTGTGTTTCGGCTCCTGTTTTAACTCCGGAAGTGATATGCCAACGCACATCATCAAGAAAATAAAGACATGTAGGCCAAGGGAACCTAGCAATGAACAAGCGTCGCCGCCATGCGCCTTTTTTATAACTACGACGTAATCCGTTCAACAAAATTAAGTGACCTTGAGCCCTTACATGGTTGACGAAAAAAGGTTCGCGGCTGCTGTAACCACGAAGGATGAGAACGTCAGAGAGGTATCTCAGCTGTCCCGCGTCTAAAGCGAGCTTCCCACCTTGGACAACAGCATCTCGTGAGCGCCGAGCGTGCACGTGCATAGAAAGCACGGTGGAATTATAGCCTTCTATATCCTGACAAAGCCTGGCAGATCGGCACGAGAAGCGGCCGCCGAAATGGAAAAGCTTGAGCGGCAGACAACGGATGAGAGGAGAGCCACGTGACTTGCGCCCCACTGCGGCGAGACGCCGAAACACGCTTCTCCCGAGCGAACAAGTGTGTTTCGGGTCCTCGCTGCTGCAAAAGCTGTGCGCTGACTTCCGGGTTCCCCTAGAGTGCCTTCATGTGCGCTTCGCATAGAGTGATGCCAACTGCCTGTTTCCCTTTCCCACACCCTCTTCCACCGCCATTTTGTTCCTCTCATTGTTTCCCCGTGCGCCGGAAAGTGGCCTTTGTGTCCATCGGTAATCCCATCCGAGGGGGAAAATGCAAATCCTCCCTCCGTGGGTTCCACAACGCTGCTCCGAACTTCTGAGATAAGGTGCTTGTTTCCGGGAGGGCTATAAGCCCCACGGATTATCGCCGAGGAACAAAATGGCTGCTGGTTTGTCGGCGAGTGGTATTACAAAGGGTGGCATCACCCTAGCAAAGCGCACATGAAGGCTCCCTAGGTTCCCCGAGGAATGGCTGGCTCTTTGGTGCTCTGTGCTACCGAATCCTCGCGCTCCAAATCTGCGACCAGGCGCTCTATGGCTCCGTCGTCGAACTGCCAGGCTTTGTGAGTATAGAGGAGGCTGTGGTACGGCGGAATGCGACACGTCCGTGCTGGAGGTCTGGCATCGGATACAGACGCCCTGACGTTCTCACTATATCAGTGACTTTGCGAAGCTAAAGTTCGTCTACCACTTGCGCAGGAGCTGCGGTGACATAAGAACGCCGAGCTCTGATTCGAAGGGTAGCGGGTAGACCTCGAGGTAGCTAGCCTCGCAGTTAGCATTGAGGTCTGCGCACTATCTTTCTAATCAGAGCCAATCGGGGCTCGGCGTTTTGACGTCACCGGAACGCTTGCGCAACAAGCAGACGAACTTGCGCCCCCATACAAGCCAAACCAATGTAAATTTTTTTTTGACGTAGATATTTGGATAGCTTCAAATTTGGCTGTCATTAAACAACGTGGAATCTGTTTTCGATGTTTAAGGGGACTTCTTCCTGCGTACTGCGACACGTGCTGAGCTGGAACCTTTTATTTTAATCTCGGATTAAATTAATTTCTATATTTGTTTTAGTTCTTGTCCACGAAAGGCAGTTCTCGAAAAACTGTTTCAACTTCCGCGAGATGGGGACGTGGTTCGCTATCTTCTCAGTTTCCCGATGCGCTGAACAGGAAGTGCCGAAACCGGAGAAACGGAGGTTCGAGATAAACTTGCGAAATTGCCGCGCCATGTCGCCTTTAATTAAAAAGTCGGGCAATTTCGCCGCCGCCTCTTTTAGCTTGTGGCTAAGTGCGAACAACACAAAATCAAACAAACGAAGAAATACAAAAACTTTTATCAGCGCCGTACTTTTCAATGATTAAATAAGCGTAATGTCCGGTTAATGAAAATTCCTGCCGTAAAAATGTGTTTGCGCGCGCGCGTGTCTGTGTGTGTATGCGTAAATGGTGGCGTTTAACTGAGTACTGATATTAATCCGCTTTCGACGCCTTTGCAGTACTTTTCTCCAGGTCGAAAAATGCCGAGTCACTGATCTGTGGTCGCATGCCCTCCGATTGGAGCGAAAAAGAGCGTATAGTCTGCTCCTCGTGCAGTGTTTCGCCTTTGGACTCCGGACGCCGCAGTTCGGCAATCGAACGCGTTCAAACAGCGAGTAGAGACAAAGGCAGCGGTCCTCAGCGTCTACCCACCATTCCTTTCAAATCGCAACTCGGCACCCCTCCCCCCCCCCCTCCCCTCCCCCCCCCCCTCCCCCCCGTGGACCGTGGCTTTGGCCTTTACTTCATTGCAGGATAAGACAAAATATAGTCATTGACAACTGAAGAAACGGAAAGGGGGGGGGGGGGGGGGGGGAGTTATGAGCATCTATAGTTATTGCTCCTAAGCCAATCAGGTTGCTTCAACGGCATTCAAACGATCTCTAACGATATTTTGAAATATTAATTTGGTAATCAGCCTGGGGTGAACGTCTTCATATGCTTTCTTATACTTCATCAGGCGCACGAGGCAACAACCCGAACCTTCTTTTTTATTTCTATTTTAAATCCACATAGCTGCGACAGGTCAGGGCGAAGTCGCTCAGTATCAGTGTCGCGTTCACAAACGGTGGCGTCTTGACTGCGAAGTCTCATTTTGTTTCGTTCTCACGTGCCTACAACTACAACAACATTAACTACAACTACAACAACATTAATAACTAGAACTACATCGAGAACGGACGTCATTTCCTGTGACCGGAAGAGCCCATGACAGCTACCGCTGTGAAACAAAATAAAACGCCAACTTGGAAGAACTGTTCTCCATCAGGAAGCTAAGTTTGCAGGCGCCGAATGCTCCAAAAGTGTATATAAATTTAGTTGCGAAAATGTTAGCTATTAAGTGCTTTGACATCGTGGCGTCCCGTCAGAGTGGAAGTCTTGCCAGTGTTTATAATAATGATTTGATTGTTAATCTGGGCAACGGGACAACATTAACCCAGGTTGAAGTTCAGGAATGAACCAAAAAGCCGCTGACTAGTAACTGCGGTTCAATTAGATTTGTCATCTCCATAAGAATATTACTGATCACGTGACCCAACGCCTACCATACTTTGAATCACGTTTCTGTTTCGTTGAAATTCTGCTTTCCACACTGACAAGCACGAACCAACTGACCCAATTAAGACCAGTAAGGTCACATTGTTGAGCTTGAGAGCGAGGCTATCATGATTTCCGGGATAACCCGCCGATAAATATCCACTTTTTTAATTGAATATTTGGCTAAAGGTTCATTGGCGTAAGAGCTTTAATCGCTGAGTTGGTAAAGTGATCGATTAATTTTACAGACCTAGCCCTGACATTTTAAAAATCCCCAGCTGCCCTCTGTGGCGGTCAATAATATATTCTATAATTTTTAGTCGGCGAGTCTCGTAGACATAATTTATTCTACCTTTATTTCTGTTTTTCGCTACTTTGAGCTTTGA